AAGTACAGGAACAGGGAATAGGAGATTTCAACCTATCAGAAAGCGTTCATTCTAGCATACATGCTAGGTTTTTTTCTGATAGGTTGAATTTACTATTTCCTGTTCTTATGTTTATTTCCTGTGCTTCACCCGATCGAGTCACGCGCACGCGTAGAGTATCTGTGTGTTGTGTAATCAGTGATAGCATTATAGCAGATGATAGTGAACGACAATAACACCGGTGACAGTAGTTGACAACCTGTGGGCGTCTATCATTGACAGTTGTTTTGTTGCGGTCCCGTAACTGAAACTCCAAATTTCTTCGCGGCAACGTTGGGGGACATCGCGCGAACTGCGATGGCGAGGCAGCTGCGAGAAACTCTGGCCCCTTCTCCTCGCGCGAGACAGTCACGTCTCGAGAGTCCGTTGGTGATTCCCGCCAATTCGACACCAGGTGCACTCCATATTTCGAGTATCATCACGTCGTGCCTTTTCTCCCTGGTTTCACAAAAATATCATTGTCGTATCTTCCTATGTGCGACGCGTTTTTACACCAGACTCAATTTGCGCGAGCGTGAAAATCTACCTAACCTCGCATGCCGGATTTTCGCGAACCATAACAATCCTACGGCCGGTATTCATAGTTCGTTCTTATTAATATTTAAGACAGTCTTAAATAATATCTTAAGATGCTAATACAATTTTTGACTGATATTTACAATTTATTCTTATTTTAAGACTGTCTTAAGTAATATCTTAAGATACTAATACAGCTTGTGATTGTTTATGATAACTTAAGACTATTCTTAAGACAGTCTTAAATATAAAACTATGGCCAGTATTCATTAGTTTTTATTTTAAGATAGCTTTAAGTAAGTAGTGTATTAATACTTGTGATTATGACAATTTAGGATTATACTTTTATAGTCAGTTTTTATTTCAAAACTGTCTTAAGTACGGTCTTAAGATGTGTCATGAACGAATTAAAAAACCGTATTAGCATCTTAAGACATTACTTAAGACGTTCTTAAAATAAGAACAGATTATAAATACCGCTCTATGAATACCGGCCTAAGATTATCTTACTTAAGATAGTTTTAAAGAATCGACTATACTGGTCTACAATTATTTTTTTAACCTTCTAATCATGTTCGGGTCTTTTTTGACCCGAGCGTTTTTAAAAAGTTCTCATGGTATTACAGTAACAGAAAGATAAAAGTAGAGGGTTAAATAAATTTTTCTCTTTTTTTTTTATCTGGAGCTTTTGGACATGCATGTCCTTACCTTACTTATTTAACTTGTACTTGCGTATTATATTCATATTCTTACATGTATAAAATCTGTTTTCTATAAGATACTTTTAGAACTTAGAATGAAATATTTGATATTTTATGAAAGAAAAGAAGTTTTAGTACAGGAATGAAAAACAGATCTGAATTTATTATACAGTTTGAGACATTTTGATAATTTGTGAAATGTATTTCAGCAACATATAACATGGATGTAAGCACGCTGCAGAATTGGCTAAACAGATTACCTGATGATTGGAATTCACCACAGAGTCCCGATGAACTTGTTATTCAAAAAAGGGGTCGACGAAAGTCTATAGTTTGGTCCCCTGATCTCGACACCAACAAGCGATGCAGTTTGTTTAGGTATAATGTATCTGCATGTACATTTATAATACTAAACTAGTAACATCTTTGATAATCTTTGGTTATCAGTTTGAGTTCCAGAGATCGCACGCCAATTAAAAATCCATCGACATCAAAAACGGTATTGAGGGATGCTGCTAGAAAGAGGCTCTCTCTTATCGATACTCGCCAATCCAGTTTCACTATACCGGAGAGTAAGAAAACATCGTTACCCTCTCGAATGTCATTAGATGCAAATTCATCAAGAGTACGATCCAATGATAATTTGGCAAATGGTTTGCGTGGTCTCAGTCACGAGCAACTTGTGCAAATGATTATGGAGCTGGTATACGCGCAAGACGAAGGTACGCTGCGTGAGAATGAGAAGCTTCGTAATGTTCTTTCCAAGAATATGCCGATTGCGGATATTCAGCCGCTGATAGAAAAATTAATTGTCCTACGACAAAATATTTACGCCAGTCTTGTATTAGTTTCCAATTTGACTGACGATTCCTCGTATAGGCGTGCTTACATACATTTGGACGCATTTCAGGTTCGTTCATATATATATTCGTATATACAATACCGTTCATATATACAATATCAAGCTAAGATAATAAGACTTGTTTATTTGTGTGAGATCTTGGTCTCCTTTATTTATATATAAGAATTTAATCAATTAATTATATAATTATTGCTCAACTTATTAAACATTAATAACAATTTTTTTCTTCTGTTTTTGCAATTTATTTCTTTAGAAAACTCTAAATGATCAAGGAAGAATATTGCAAGAGTCTCAACATTGGATTTCATTAATGCGCTATGTATTAGAAGCATGGAAAATTACTAGGGAATTACCAGAATGGGAAAATCAGGGTTCTCATAACATCACACGGAAATGCTTCAAGAATCTATCGCAGTTTTGTACTGAAGCTATAAGAAGAGGGAATTTTGAAACGTCGGTTCTAAACATTTACATTGAAAGGTATGTGAAATAAAGCAATTTTCAACTTTTCTCTTTTTTCTATTCTTTTTTACAGATTGCAGATAATATAAGGAAGCGTTATATCAGACTTAAATGCAGAATTAGAAAATTGATAATTTTTGATTACTAATTATTTTCAGTCTCAAAACTATAGCCGCGGAATGTGAAGATTTTCAAATTTGCCTACAGATAGCGAAGGAAGGAAACGAGATTTAGGCTTTCTTTCTACGAGATCACACGCATGATAATTTTATTTAAATATTTTCTCCGTGTGATAGCCTAATATTGACATGTGTTCGTATACAGGATATTTGAGATAGAATTAACCAGTATTAACCGGTGATAGAAATGACCAGTGAAGTTGTTATATAGACATGATTTTAAAAATGGAAAAGAATTTTGTTTTCATACATATAACATTAAATATTTTGAATTATCCTGTATATGTATATATCGACGTAAAACAAATATGTTTTATATTTACATTTATATTTATCCAGTCAACGACTGCGCTTATGCGCACATTGATACGTGGATAATATATATGAAAAATATGCTGATATATATTATTCACTTTTTCGACGTTGGATGATACAAAACAAATTGAATTTCGATACTTTCTTTAAACCATTTTTATTTAAAAAAACTATAAATAATTTATATTAACACATAGATGAAAAAAAATTGTTAACTTCTCGACAATTGTTACAATTTAAAAGTATAGAAAATAAGTACAAATTAAATTTTCTAATAAAAACATTTATTGAGAGTACAAGTAGTATTGAGAGTAATAAAGCGAGAGATTGCTGCTAAAGAAATAATTGATACTCTATACAAAATAGTAGAAAGATCAATATTTCCACTTAAAAGGATAGTTTTGTTAATTGGTACATTTGTAAAAGTGTAAATAAGAAAGAATAACTTACTTAGAATTAGATTTTGTTTGGATAATTTGCGTAAATGGCATCATAATTTTGTTGTAAAATTATTCTTATGTGCATTTTTACATGTACTTTTACCTCTCTTATATAAATTACATATATATTTCTCTCTTTTGTATGAAATAAGTTTACTGAAACAAAGATGTATAATTTAGTGTATATAGAATCAAAGACATATTTTTATGTTAAGCGGCCGAATATTGTTTTGTGTTGTATTGTATAGCAATCTTTCTCTATTTATTAAAACATAATATATTTAAAGGTATCGAAATCATCGTATCGCCGAATAATATTTTTATATATTATGAGAGTATTTTTGTACGACCAATGCAATTGTAATTAGCGTTTATATGTATTTATAGTGTAATTTTAATGTATTTATTATAAATCAGATAGGAAATGGACTAACATAAAAATCATTTCTTTTTTTATTAAAAACAATTTATTCGTCATAATATATCGTATTTTCTTACATAATCTACCCATTATTACTTTCGAAAGGCACATATGTCACTTGACAAACAGTCAGAAATCCTCTAAGCGGCTCGCGTTCGCATGTGATACACCTGTACATATCTATTATAAGAGCATAATAGCGTGCTTAGAAAATTCCTGACAGTGGTCTATTCAACGAGAGATGATCGTTAATATCTTGTAACATGCCCATCTAAGTATTATATGACAAATCAGGCATTTTATATATACACATACACACACACACACGCGCGCGCGCGCGCGCGCGTGTGTGTATATATCGAAATAGTAATATAATTGGGCGCAATCGAAACGTATCATCGATATTTCTTTAGTACCCTATTTACGTTTTTTCATACAATTGCACATCGTCGTTTGAAACGCTATCTTGTATCGTTCATCGTGCGTATCGGCAAGCTTACGCGTCGTTTAGGAACAACTTTAAAAAAGAGATCGGAGATCGAATGAACGAAATCCATGAGATTCCGACAATACATACCAAAATATCCTGGGCAAGTAATGAAACAATATAATCTGACCTCATCTAAACTTAAACATTTAGGTGAAGCAAATTAAAGCGATAAAACTCGTAAAGCCAATGCATTTACAGGATGATCCAAAATCGATGAAAAATGGACATATAGGATTTGTGAAATTTCGAGAGAGCAAGGAAAATATTCGAGCGCGATTATTTTTTCACACTTATCAAATTTAGACGTATAATATCTTAAAAACTAAAGGCTTAAATTAAAATTTTGTACAAAAACGAAAGTAAAATACACTTTACATTAAACGAATAATATTCCATTATTTATTTGCTTATCTAAAACCTAACTCACTATAGAGCGGGAAACAAAAATCATCTTGAAATTTCACAAGAATTAAAACTATGCGTGCATTTTTGTCAATTCCAGAAAAGCCTGTATAATAAAAAAATAAAATTCATTTTTTCGAAACATCACAATATTCGAATAAATATACATTAAAAATATATCGCTATATAAATAATATAGTGATAAATAATTTGATGGTTTACGAGTGTAAGTGAGAGACACGACATGTCTCTCAATTCTTAATTAAACTTTCAAACAGAAAGTTGAGTTGAGAATGCCTGTGCAGCTATAAATTGAAATGTAAAATCGGATAGACATTCGGCCAATAATTGTGCAATCCGTTATTAAAACATTTGTCTTATCTAAAATGTGAGAAAAAGTCATAAGGAAATGCATTGCCATATATATATTGACATTGTCAATAACTACGGGTAACGTGTATCTGTACGATCATTCGACTCGCGGATTCATGGCAAATCGTAGCCGATTAAAATCATTAAAATCCACGATGACGCAATCTCATTTTATAAGCTACAAGAAAAATGACATACGCGTGCTATGTAATTAGAAGACTTGTTAACAAAAATTGGGTAGATTCCGTCTTTGCGATATCCGTGTTCATTCGGATGGCAATGCTATTAAATATTTACTAATGTGCCTATGTATCGTATTATAACAATTAACAAGATAAAGCTGCAAGTCGAATACTGTCGTAATCATCGGATATTCTGCGAACATTTTAATCAATCGCTTTCGCTGGCTGCACTCTGGGATATAACTGAAACATATAATGCAACATTCTCTTATGTCTCACACGCATTATTAGAATTAGTAAACATATTTTAAATGCAAAATACTATACAGAGAGAGAATTTTGTATAATAAACTTTCTAATATATATTTTTTATACTTGAAAAATAATATTTAAAATTATATACTTGAAATGTGGATCTGGAATTTTACTACATAAAATTTTTTGAAATTTATTTTTTATATTTATAAAATATGTATTTTGGCATATTTTTTTTGATATGCAGCAATGTTTTTTGATATTCAGTGTATAATAGATGTTTTAAAAAATTTAAATATTTTGATATAGTGTATCATAAAATGCAATTTCGCGATATTTTGCTCAACTTGAAAAAATATTAATCTCGCTTATCATAAGTCACTTTATAATCAATTATACTTACCCCCAATAAATTCCGAGGTACATAGCCTTCTTTATGTCCGAGTTTGCTCCACCACCATTCCCGTTCGTTATCATCCCCCTTCCGAAGTACGATTACGGAGTCGCCGTTCTTCAATGAGAGTTCGTCAGCGTGTTGGGCTTCGTAATCGAAAACCGCATATACCTGACCGTTATTCATAATCCCCAACTTTTCTTGAACGCCTATGCGCATAAAAAAGACGTTTTTTCACAAATATATCCTTTGTACCACAATAGATTTTAAACTTTGCTCCGATGATACTGACTATACAAATACTCCGAACATCCGTCGAATCCTTCTTCGTCTTCCTCGCATTTTTCTGCGGCGGTCTCGTGATCTGAAAGGGTGGTTGCAAAAATGCAAGCACCATGTTCGACCAAGAATCTCACCATAGATAAATTGTTACAACTGGCGGCGCAGTGTAACGGTGTCCTATGTGAAAAATATTTAAATATTTATAGCAGATAAAAAATATTCTGTATATAAATTTTTTTAGAACAATACATATTATTGTACAATAGACTTTTAAATTTTATATATAATCTTTTCTAAACTTTTTGATAACGAATTCTTTTATGATCAGATTTTTCTTAAGAGAGAGTTTATCAAAGACTATATTTTAATTTTCAATTATATTATAATATCATATATTTTTATAGACTTTAAATTACAATTCTATTAAGTAAAGCTATTTGAAATCAAGTGAAGAATATGATTTTATTTATCCATCTTCATTTAGCAAAGTATTCTCTTGCACGCAATTGTCGAAAAAAAAATCTACACTGTTCAATTTACCATCCATCACTGTCCTGGGCGTTGACATCGCAGCCGAATTCTACGAGGAATTTGACAATCTCGAGGTGACCGGCGCATATGGCGTTGTGCAGAGCGGTAATACCTTCATCATTAGCGGAACTCGGATTGGCAACCTCTTTCGCGGTTTTCTTTACGAGCTCGAGTTCTCCCTCGAGACTAGCGTCGAGTAACAGCGCCAGTGGATCGAACGATACCCGCCTGGACAGATTGACCTTGCCACTACTACCTCCCGTGCTCGTCGACTTGAGATTTCCCTTCTTCCTCCTCATTACTTCCGATATCTTGCTTCCGTCTATCTCCATTTCACCTCCGATTCCCCCGGTCAATTCCGAGTCGGTCTTCATCTTCGTCGGCTTGTCCTCTATGTTGATTACATTCAGAGCGTCGATGATGTCCGCTTCCTCCAGTCTCTCACCGTCACCGATATTATCTTCGTTGGTAATCTTGCAACTGTCCGTAGTGTCGATGATTTGCTGTTGATGTTGCTGTTGCTGCTGTTGTTGATCAGTCTGCATGAGATCCGCCGGAATTTCTGTCTCCGGAAACAGGAAGGCCGGGGGCATCTCAATTCGGCGATTTATCGACACGTGAACATTGGATTTGGCGTATCTCAATTTCGGTTGCTCTGATATCGGTACTTTCTTCAGCGTTAACGGCCGAGCTTTGATGATCTGATGATTGGCAAGTTGTGTTTCCGTAGGAGATTCAGGCGGTTCTGACGTAGGAATCGGCGGTATTTCCTCGTCCTTATCCGACCTACCAGATTTACAAAACAAATTCGGAAATCAGAAAATCAATAATTAATTGAGAGAATCATTATTACGTTATTGATTACATGAATGAATTGAGAACGATGAAAGATTATTGCTAATTAAATAAAGTGATTATTTCTAGTTTAAGTATATTAATCTTAAAAAATTAATTAATTTGAATATTGTGCTTGGTATTGTAGTATAAAAAATTGAACAGAAGGTAAAATATAAATAACGTATTGTCCAGATCAAGACTTACAATTCTCTATCGACTCTGACAAAAGGGAAACCGAATATAATTTGCAACGCCAAAATCCCATTCAATATTTTGTAAATCTTGAATAAATGTATCGAATCGTCGGTCGACTGCATATAAATCGCAAAGGGCACAAATAAAAACTACGACAAAATTACACGATTGTATCTGATCTGGCTGTCGCTCGATATGTCTATCAACATGAACCATCCAATAAACAGATGTTATTAACAGTCGCGTAATTGAGCATCGATTCGTGACTAATCATGCACAAAATCATCTCCTGGCAATTGCAGGCACGTTAATCGTATGTATCACTGGCGTGCACTGATCGGAGAACTCACGAACACTAAGAGGAGCGCGGGCCCATGTCGTCTCCGCGGAGCCGCGATTCTATTTCGGTGTCTATTATTCGAGACAGGCTTCGATTCACTGGCCAAATCGATCGCGAACTAATTAACATTTATAATTAACCCAGTAATTGTTTTGTCATTCCGCAATCCGAGTCCGCGTGAACTGTTCGATGAATTCCTTGATAATATTGTAATTCTACGACGAGTGTGAAGAGAATGTAAAGTGTTTAAACAGATTTAAATTATAACACGCGGACAAAAGCCTTTTGTACATTTTATTGTAAATAATAATAAAGATTTAAAAATATTGAGGATATATTGAATGAAATATTTCAGAATAAATTACGCACAAGCATTTTTTAAGCGTGAAATCTCTACTTAATATATTAAAAATTGTTAACTTTTTAAATTTATGTATAAAATGTCTAATGAAATATGATCTTGAATTTTGGAACTTTTTTTCTAAAATTCTTTTACAATGGAAATATTTAACATTTATTTATACATATAGTAGATAGACTTATTTAATAGAGACAGTCAATGTAATAAAAATATAAGACCATAATTCTCAAAGTTTATATATCTTCATATCTAATTCTATCTTACTTCTTACAGGATTATCATTTAAAAATCAGAAGCATATACGAACCTTGAATTGAGATTTGTGTTAGTCATCTTGCACTCGTTGATTCCTTCGGATGATGACACATCAATCTTCTCGTGATGAGTAAGTCTTGGCGGCGGATTCGGTTTGCTCGGTTTCGGCGGCAATGCCGGTTTCGTCTTATCCTCTATTCGCGGCTCATTGAAATTCTTTCTCTCGCTGTCGCTGCTCTTTGTCGCCGGCTTGTCGAATTCGAATGGTCTGTCTGGTGTTTTCGCGGGGATTTCGAACTTGGCGGCTACATGATCAACCGCGTGTTTCGTCGTGGAATTTGGTTCGTATTTGGCTGACACCATCTCGAATTTGCTCTGGCCACTACTCTCATACTTGCTCGGTTCAGATTTATACTCCGATTTGTATTGACTGGCACTCGAAGATTCGTGTTTGAATGTTGGATTGTGATCATACTTGTTCGACAATCTTCCCTCGTGTTGTTGCTGCTGCTGCTCATGTTTATTGTTAGACGGTAATGCATGCTCGAACTTGTCCTGACTCTTGCTCGATTCAAATTTAGTTTTTTGATTGTTCAGTATTTGATCCTGGCTTTGTCCGAGATCGTTAGGACTCAACACTTGTGACGATTGATTATACTTCTGGGAAGAATTGCCAAAAGTCGTAGTGGTGCCGTGAAGACCAACGAGATTGGACGAACTCTGGATCTGATATACGGCTGCCGGAGAAGACCCGTGAATGTTCGTCTGATTTTGATACTGCTGTTGTTGCTGCTGCTGCTGCTGCTGTTGAGCAACGGGATAACCATGTCTATAATTTGTTTCTTGATTCCCGGCGCTAGATTGTAGCTGGGTATTCGCCGTCGCTAACTGTTGATTGTTGCCGATGTAGTTTTGCGCCGCATTGTTATGTCCGCGACCCAGTAGGCTCAATGTCTGCGGCATAACTGGATGGATCTTGGTCGAGGAGGTTTGATAGATCTGTGACTTGACTGAAAAACTTGGTGCCACGCTCGACACTGGTTTTTGATGACCACCTACGGTCTGCTGCAGATTTCGATGTTGATTCTGCGTAGTTTGTATGATCGACGGAACAGTAACACCTACGAGATTCGATGTCGTTGATGCACCGCTAATGCTGGTCACGTTGTGTTGCTTCTGCTGGAGATTGCTATTTTGATGCTGCTGCTGTTGCTGTGTCTGCGATTGTTGTTGATGCTGATGACCTTGGTGAAGACGAAGACCTTGCGACAAATTGTCCGGACTAAAGTTATGCGCAGTATTACAGATGAGATTGTTGCTGTTATTGTTGTTGTTGTTGTTGTTGTTGTTATTGTAGTTGCAACTTGATTGGATTGTCGTGGGTTGGTTGCCAAGATTTTGATTGTGCTGCTGTTGCTGTTGATTGCTTCCTAGTAATTGAGATTGTCCTAAATATTTTTGACGATAATTAGATCCATATTTAAACTCATGTTTATTATTTGTTGATGAAATAACAATTTCTGTATTTATTGTATTGGCCATTAATTTATAAGTATTTCTGGCAAATTATCTTTTCGAGAAAAAAAATTTAATTTTAAATAATTTTAACGTTATAAGTAATTATGTGGATGCTCAATGTTTTAAATATTAAATTGCGAATAAAACACTTACCCTGAATATGAGACTGCGACTGGCTGTGAACAATTTGATGCCCGTATTGCTGAAAGGTCGGCCGCTGTCCCAACTGGGAGGCGCTCGCTGAATGTTGTATTTTATTTTTGTTCACGTCGTCTTCTATAGCCTTAAAGTTCATTGTAAACTTGGTGTTGTACGGCAGTGTCTGGTACTTGGGGTCGTTTTTGTTTAGATTGAAATCATTGTCGTTCGGTATGTGTGAATACGGCTCGATCGCGGCGATATTGCCGGCCGGTCTTAACTTGCCGCTGTTGTTAAAACCATCGAGCTTTGTGTCCGGGAATCCAGTGTTGTTAACACCACTGCCATTAGGACCCACTTGTGTTAATCGTTGATTCAATGCTCTCTTGCGCTGGAGACGACTTTGAAGTTGAGCTATTCGCGCGTCTATCGACGCCATCTCGGCCTGTCGTTGTGCCAAGGCCTGCCGTTGCTGAGATACTACTTGGTTTTGCTGTTCGTTCATCTTGTTGCGATACTGCGTACAAATTGGGGAAATAAATTTGGTTTTTTCATCATTGACTTTTCCCTATAATACGCTTGAAATACATGCATAAAAGTGTCGCCATAATTAATTCGTTAGCAACTATCAACATGTACTCAACTCCATATATACCAGTTTCAATACTATGAACAATTAGTATCACAATTACAAATTATAAAAACTAAAATATGCTTCTCCATATTTTTTAAAAAAGTGAAATAATAATCTCAATATTTTTTACTTTAAAATATATATTTTTTAATACTATCTTTTATTAAAAAAAAAAATGTTTCTATCATGTAAAAAGAATAATATGCATAAAAAATAAAGGCACATCAATAAATTAAATATTTTATCTAAATATTTAATAAATATTCAGTACGAAAATAAAATAACATATTTATAAAGATTTATCAATAATTCATCAACAAAATTTTCCAAATATTAATATTCTATATTTTTATTATTTATTTCATTAAGGTAAATTTTTCCCAAATTAAATAATTAAACGATAAATAACAATCTGTTAAGCTCTAAAAAAACCTATTTCAATATAAATTAGGAAAATTATTAGAATATATTTCGACACGATAACAATAAAGAAAAAATTAGATTTAAATTTCATTTAAAATGGCACTGTACTCGTACACCTGCTTTCCGCAAATTCTGGGTCGTCCTATAGATATGTAAATATGACATAATTGATTTATATTCAATTAGCGTAGAAATTGAAAATAGGACAAAAACAGTGATGTTTCCGTGCTCTGCGTTTTTGCGAGACAAGGTCGGCTCTCTTGAGACCATAATCGATGACGCGAGCTTACCATAAGCTCCCTTCGAAGTTTCTCCAGTTCGGCACTGGCTGGGGTGACCAAATGTCCATTGCCGGTAGCACCCGTGAGACTGCCCCCGATGCTACCGGCGCTTCCACCACCGGCGGGAGCATTCTGACGACCTCGGAGTTCTTCCAGCTGCCGCGTCAGCTCCTCGACCTTTGCTACAGCCAACGAGAGTTCCTTCTCCTTCTCATTGAATAGAGCTCTGATGCAGTCCAGATCGGAGGCTACGGATGAAAGAACGGAAGAGGAATAATGAGAATAAAGTAAGAGAGAGAACAATAAAAATAACAAGGATAATATAACTAGAAAACACGATAAAAAGAAGATAAAGACAAAAAAGAATAATATTATTAAACAATATATAAAAGCTATAACAATAAAAGGTTCTTATCAACTTTTATGTGTGAAGTTTAAAAATAATTTAATGGATTACTCATTTGAATTGTTACTTTTTCAAGCAATTTAGAGAAATATCACTCATCACATTAACTGCATATTATTTAATATATTTTGATGTGTAAATATTTCAATTAATGTTTCTTTTTAATGTTTTATTTATTTCATTAAAATCATTACATGCTTCAGTGATCAAACTAGTAAGATTTTCGCACGAAATTCGGAAGATCCAGGTTCGAATCTCAGCTGAGGTGATATTTTTTTCAATAAGTTATTTTTTTAATTAATAAGTTATTTGAAAATGCTTACTAATATTAAAATTGTTTATTAATTTAATTTATAATATTATGTATTCCATCAGTCTAGGATTGTGTTTCAAGATGAATAGGTAATCGGTATGCAGTTTGCAAAACTGCCGAAATTGTAAAAATTTATACAAAATTATTATTAGGCACTAAAATCCGTCTTGATCGAAAATGGATCTCTTCATTCATTTACATGGAAAGGATAATTTTGCTGCTCTCTAAAAAATTAACTAGATACAGATCTGAAAATAATTTGGTTGCATCGTTAAAATAATTATATACAATAGAAAACTCAAACATGGTAAACTGCAAAAAATTTTGACATTCTAATAAAAAGTACGAACGTCCTACATAATTATTTTAATAATTCAACAAAATTTACTTTTAGATTTGTATCTATAGCTAAATTAGATACCCTCTCAGCAAAACCATTCTTCCTGTGTAATTTATTTTGCATGATCAATTTTTATTAAATAATTTATTCACGACGTAAAACTTTTTATATCTAGGTGATATTACTGCGAGATACATCATTATGAGATTACGTCGAATGAGATATTGATGCAGGAAAATGAGCGAGATTTACGTGGCCTTTGACATTCGATATAATAAATTGGGGCCTCCGAGATGCACACCCTGCACCCAACACCAACGGACGTTACGAAAATACACGCTAAGGGATGACGTTGTATTAACGGGCGCATTAATCATCGCCGGTTGACTTATCTAAGAGTGATACACTTTCGTGGATTCTATTGGCTGGTATCTCTTAAGCGCCGAGGAGCGCAACGGGCGTCTCGTATTTCGTATCAGATTAGAAAGTTATTATACGTGCGCGATGGACCACTAAACCAACCACATATTGCTACACGGAACCTCCGTATTGGCCGTACAGAGCGATCTGCTGTGACCTGGAATTCCATTATCGAATTCTGGATTGGTACCCGGTCGACTCCCTGAGTACTATCTATCTGCCCAGGAACGACATCCTTTATGGTCTTTCATTATTTCCTGGGTAATCCCATAGCCGTCGAAATTGTCAATGCAATTCTAATTTATACGAAACCGATTAATGAGTGTTTTCAATACGTTTAGCTCAGCGAAGTTCTGCTGAATAGTAAGGACATTAGTTAAAATATATACGTATCGCAATTAATTCTTTAAAAATCTAATTATCCAAGAAATTATTCATGATTCATTACTATATCTTATAAAGCAATCGGATAGAATAAGATATTTTAGTAAAGCAAGTAATTCATAAGAAAAAAAAATATTAAAATATTTTATTTAAAGGAGAAAAATTCGTTTTTTTTTTTAAATTCTTCTCTTTAATTTCGTTTATTTTCTTAGAGTTATTATGCTAATCCTCTCAAAAACAGTAAATAGCACAAATCCTTTCTTAACTCATTGTTTGTGCCAACTGCTTCACAAAACGAATAATCAATGAAATTTCAGAGTTAACCTTTACTAATTCTCAGTGTCTAAGATTTCAAGTTACGAAGAGCAGACTGGCTTTCGCATACCAAATAGATGATTTGGCTCGACTTCTCCTTTTGTGTTGTTTGTCGACCGTAGTCCATTAAACCATCGGCATGCCGATCAGTATTTTTGCCAATTGGCATAGATCGATCGACACGTGTTCACTTATATGGCAATGAGTTTGCCGATCAAATGGATGATTAAAGGAAGGAAAAGAAAAAGAGAGAAAACGAGAGAGAAAGATAAAAGCGTTTAATTCTGTTGTAAAGTAAGCCTTCTATAAGAACATAAAAGTAAGCAAAGAAAAAGAAATAGATAAAAAAAAAAAATATATATAAAATTGAAAAAAGTAAAGCGGCAATAATAATATATAAAGAATAAAAAAAAAAGCGGAAAAATGTATACAGTTATACAAGATTATGTAATAATGTAATAATAAACTATTTAAAACAAAATAAATTACAATAATTAAGTATTTAAAAAAAAACAATAAACTGCGGATAAAAAACAAAGAATAGCAATGGGCACAAAAGCAGAGAGAGAGAGAGAGAGAGAGAGAGAGAGAGAGTTGTTCTTCTCAAGAAGAAAAGAGATTTTAATATGTGTTTAGCATGAGATTAAATGTCACATGTTATAAAAGTAATTTCTTAATTCGTGTCAAATTTAACTTTTCAACATTATTATGTATGCAGCACGAATTTATATTATGCTAAGTGAGATAACGCAGCATCGATTTCATAGAACTGCGTTTGCGCAAAAAGTTCAAGTGTGAGCGACTGGTGGGCGATATTTTGTGAATATTTTGCGTGGGTGTATGTATGAAAGGATCGAAAGTTGATTCCTTCCACGTAATTCAACTTTTACCGTAGTTGAATTTAATTTAGACTCCATTTCGCCAACACCAATTAACTTCAATAGTAGTTCAATTGTCTCTTTATCTCCTTTTGCAGGCAGAATCCAAAAAGAACTAGCGAAACAATTGAACTACAGTTAAGTTTAATGGATATTGGCGATATTGACGCTAAATTAAACGACGAAACGTGCCTTAAAAGTCCTATCGATTAAGGTTGATTGAGGTTCATTGTCTTTTCTACTTTTATTTTTAGAAGAGAACAGAGAATCGGTTAATCACGTCTTTGAATTGCTCAAATGTATTCGGATGTTATACTTTTATGACGCAAAAGCCAACTATATGTATAAACACAAGCTTTATAAAAAAATAATTCAATAATTTAATTTGTTTCTTTATTATTGTGAAAACAGAACAAACAATAAAGAGAATCAGACATTTAATTGTTAACAGTTTTCAGCTGAACGCAAAAATGCCCAACTTTTCTAACGTCCTAAAGAGGAAGAGGATTAAACCAATGTTAACTTCAGCATGCAACGAGAGAGAATTCAGAGAAATGCGATAGCGCTCCGACATGAAAGCCAATCGTTGTGCTAGTCTCGCCAATGAAATCAAACGCCTCTCATTATGCATGCCACCCGCCCATTCGCGCCACTTGGGATACATACATACACATAAAGCCCGCGGGGCGAATATATTCGTAAAGTATCGAAGAACGCAAAATTCTCGAACGCTCAACTTGTTGGGAGACGTTCCTTGAACTCGTTTTCTCGCGAACGTCACGTTCCGTCGTCAGTCTATTCAAAGGCAATTTCGCAGCCACCAAATGCTCCTTGAGATTCTTTCTTATTCCGGAAACGAGAGTCTCGCCCACCTTCAACATTTCTTCTACTTTCCTCACCGCAGAATGCTTTGCAATTTTAATAACGGATCCTATGATTAATCGACTTCTTTTTGTCAGTCAAAATTCTTGAAGAAGGTCAGCTAAAAGTTATCACATTTTTTTTTACCTGTGATGTATTTCTTCATTTTCAAATGTCACTGCATTTACGTCTCTTTTGTTAGTCGCATTAGAATTTTATTAGAGGTACAATTAAGTAAATATCGCATATATTTTTCTTCATTCTTTATCTCTCGCAAATAAATATTTCGTTTTGTATCAAAAACAAAAATACTAATTTACTAAAAATATTTTGAATGTCGAAAAACTGTTTTGTGCTTCCAAAAAGATTACGGATATTTTTCTATTATTTCAAAAATACAGCCAATTAAAATTCATCGCGTGTATCTCTTTATTTCCGGCTTACAATGTGATGTATATATGAATACGCAAGAATGAATACGAACATATATGAATATCGAAGAATAGTATAGGTACATAAATATCGACATACGACAAACGCACAAGCATTGCGACTGATAATAAAGCAATTATAAAGAATAAAAAATGATAAAAGGACGAAGACAGCGAATAACTGCCTGACGTTTAAAGATATATCAAGTGTAGGTGTAGTCTGTGCAAAAGACCAGAATTAAAAATGTATAGATACTTCCGTACAAAAGTAAATATACATATATGAATAAGTTCATCAATTCAATAAGATTAATATTTATATTTAACAATACAATTTTGCAGTTTAAAATTTCCTCATTTTATCTTGATTATTTTTTTAAAAAACATACTTTTTATTAAACTAACTTTTCATTCAGGTTTCTAAATCTAAACTTTTTGTATTACAAATGCAATATACAGAAATCTATAATTTTTTCATTTTGCTAAAAAATACTTGTAATACAACTTTAACGTTTCAGCATCTTAAATAATAAAGAAATATAGTAGTACATTTAAAACTTTGTGAAAAATCAATTTTCAAGCTCGATATATTTCACGATTCGTTTACACGGTCCATGTTTACAGAAACCTTTTTCTTTGTAGCGCCATGCTTTATGCTTTTATACAATCGCCTGTCAAAGTATCGACCTTTCCCGGATGGAGAACAGTCTGTAGGTACGAGGTTTGCCATCGATCGACGTCCTGCGCGTGCAATCGAATGCGTCGAATGCGTTTTACACATGCGAATGTGCATAGGATAAAGTGCGACGCAACTGCGACGCTAAACAATAGATTCATCCACGTCGCCACGTTGCGTCGCTTAAATGCACGGCAAATGACACGTCGCGCTGTCGTCGCTTC